GTTTATCTTCATGTAACCTGAGAGTCCAAGCTTCCAGGATGGCTCTAGAACTCTGCTGCCCAGCATGCATCTTCCTAGGGCAGTGACCTGATACTGGAAATCCTTACAAAAGCTGGAGTTTGTGATTTGCTAACCTCAAGCTACCCTCAACAAGGGTTTCCATCAGACAGCTATCATTGAAGCTACCTGTACAATTACACTGATGTCTTATTTCAAATTACGAAATACTTAAATAGCTCCTTAGCAATAGTAATGCTCATGTGCTTTGTCCTCAAAATAGAGGATAGAATATTGAAAAATTTCATTGGTTTCTAGACTGGTACTGATGTATTTAGTGGTTTAGAGGATGGAAGGAAGAGAATTAGAATACTGAAACACATCAATTCCTTTCTAAAGAAAGTCAAGTCTTTTTGAAAATATCTTAAATCTGTAGTTACTGTCTGTCAAGGGATAATTATAGCCCAGTTGGTTCACTTCCCCAGAAATGTATTACCTAAATGTAAGATAAAACACCTCACCAAAATCCTAACAATAGATCCTGAACAGAGGCATGGATTTGCTTTAACTTAAAAATAATTAGCAATTGTATTGTTTCCAGAAAACCTGCTGTAATGGTTCACTATGTAAATAGGTTTACGTAAAAAGTCTCAAATAGTAAAACCATTACTACTCTCATGTAACTCACTATCTGATGCAGCAACAGTGAAGAAAAACCCAAAGGAATCAACTATACTAATGGCCAAGTGCACTTTATCCATAGACGAATGTGTATAAACAGCCAATTCTCCTTAGAGAAATCCAAAGAAAAACTACTTAGGATTTTCCAAAAGCTGTCATAATAGTCCTTATTAACTGAAATTTAGTATTTGGTACAGCTTATAACAGCAGTGAGTTTCAAAGACAGGTGTTAAAAGTCACTGGCTTCAGCTTTTTAAAATTGAATTGGAATTTGACATTACACAGCACCTCTTGGTTGTTGTAGTTACTAATAAATCAAAACAAAGGCTTTCATGATCTTAAGAGTTTAAAATTATTCCCAGCATAATTTGAAATTTAGTCTCGTTACAAAAATTTCTTGATTAATTTAGCTTATTTAGAGACACGTGGAAGGACACTGTACAACAACTGCAATATTCAAGACTTCTGACTACTGTGAACTTGCATCAGAAGTGCTCCCAAAATATTCACAGTGGGTCCGATGGCAAACTGAATCAGGCAATCTTGCAATATCCTCACTATTTTTAGAATATATAAGAAATGTAAGGCATTATTCGCTGTAGTCAACTCCTCAGAAGCAAGAAACCCCAAACTTATGATAACCAAGGTGATTGAATAGCCTGCCAAAAACAGCATACCAATATTTTGTTGATATTTCATCAACTCACTGCCTCAGACTTATAAAGATTGTTAGGCATCAAAACCAGTAAAATTTCTTCCCATGAATATCAGTTAATTCCAGTTAATATGAGTGAAAAAGCAATTTTTCATTGGCCTTGAACAAGACTGATCTTAGTACTATATAAAACTTAACTGCCAAACAACATACAGCCCAGCCATCTGAAGTTATGGCAACCATCAGTCCACAGCAGCTTGTGAGCTGGCACATCTGCTTCAACTAGACATATGAGAACAACCAGCTGCTTTTACATTAAAGAAGCAGCAAAGATGGAAAATGTGCTACTCTGGGGGAGTTCTGAGGTGGACTTGCTTCAACCTTGTCCTTACAGGAACAAACCTCAAGAAAATACGAAAGCTTTTACACTGGGCAAAAAATATAATATAAATACAAAATAGAGCAATGGAATTTTTAAAAAACATTTAAAAAAAACCTTCAAAGCCTCAAAGCTGCAAAGTCAAGATAAAATAAGTATAAAAAGCTTTATAACAGATCTTCCCACTGTGTCCTCACAGACAAGCCGTTGCTTGCCTTGCTTGGACTGATTTCAAACAAATAAGTGATTTCCTGTTTTGCAGCAAACTCTCCCCAGTTCTCTCTGTTTCTTTGGAAGAACTTTTATCCATTACCACAGACATCTAGCTCTAAGTCTGCTTCCTAATACTGAAACTACTCTCTCCATGTAGATCTTCTACATGTCTCTTCATTCTCTGGTTGCTGTCTAGATTAGCTGGTAGCTTCCCTGAGTTTAGTGTCAGAGCCTGGACAAGTGAAGGACTACCTACAGCAGAGATTATATTGTCTCAGGGACAACAAAAGCAAACTGGACATACAAGTGCATGTGACCAGATGGGATGCATTTCAGGAAGCTGAGGTAACTGGCTGCTGTTACACAAAGGCCACGCTTTATCATCTTTGACAGGTCACATCCATCAAGGGGAGTTCCTGGTGACAGGAAAGAGACGACTATCACACCCATCTTCAGTCTAACCTCAGTTCTCAATCAGCTTATGGAACAAATTTTCCCGGAAACCATGCCCAGGCCCATAATGAACAAGCAGGAGATTAAGAATAGCTGTCAGGAATCTACCAAGCACTGACAAACTTTATTGCCTTCTGTGATGCAGTGACCGTCTCCATAAACTAGGGGAGAGCATAGTCAGTTTACCTTGATTTTAGTGAGGCTTTCAGCAAGGTTTCCTTAGGATCTTTATAGACAGATTGGAAAGATATGACTCAGACAGGTGGACTCTAAGGTGAGTAGAAAATTGACAGGACTCTGAAGCTTAACAGTGAAGCCTGCAAGTTACAGGATGCAATTTTTTCCCCTTTTTAGCACTTGTGAGAGTACCTAGAGTACTTCTTTGGGCTCTCCAACCCACCATACTGACTTACTGGAATGAGTTTAGTGGTGGCAGGAGGACTACAAGGTTGCAGAGAAGGTCAAGGAGATATCTAACTGCTGTCTTCAACTGCCTAAATGGAAGGGAACAGAAAAGATTAAGGCTGACTATTCTTGAAGGCGCACAATGAAAATACTATAGATAATGCAAGAGAGTCAAAAATTCTGAACAGACATGAGGAAAAAACCTTCATGGTGATGGCAAACATTGTAATGGGCTGCTGAATCACTGTCCTTGGAGGTATTCAAAACATGACTGGACAAGGCCCTGAACAACCTGATTTAAGCTGGCACTGTTTTATACTGTGGTCTGGACCAGATGACCTCCAGAAGCCACTTCCAAGTTAAATTATTCAATCATGATTCCATGATTTGGTGTATTTTGGAAGCACTACCAAAATCCACTTGCCTCAGACAGCTACAAGATGAATTACTTTACTTCTTGTACAAGTGAGTTGTTGGATTTATACCATTTGATTAGTTACAGAGTCCTCTAGCATTCTCTACAATGCTTTGTCAGTGTAGACACAAGTCTAGTCTTAATTCTTTCCCATTTTCCCTTTCAAGAAGTACTAGCTTTTAAGATACTGTTGGTCCTTGTGCTCTTACCCCTCCACCATATAGTAGATGACTTTTCAAGAGAATACTACAGCATTATAGATTTTAGAATATGTACCTTCATAGTAAGAGCAAAAAAAAATCAACCAATTTTTTTAGTATCACTGGAACTATTTATGTGTTCTCCCCCTAAAATAAAAGAATACTATATTTTCCTTTTTTTCTGTCTAAAGGTTCTTCATAGAGAATGATTTTATTGTTCAAGCTGAGAAATTCCGACATGCAATTTGTTTTCATATCCATACTGCTATGAAACTGCAGTATCTCTTACCACCATGCAGGTACATCTGCTTGTTTGAACTTAGAATATGTTATCACACTTGATCCTTTGGTGGTGTCTGAACAACAATAATTTAGCAAAGCCTTATGCACTGGCCTGGAAAAAGTAATCCTACAGCTACAACTGGAAGTTGTGTCCTCTTCAGAATAGTAAGAAACAACCAAATGTTTCAGACACATATACTTAATGACAAGTACCTGGAAAGTTTTTAAAACTCTTATCTAAAAGGAATTGTAAATTTTTTACTAATTGCATTTCTATACCTTAGAAATTTACACAGTATTTTCTTTGATTTTGGAGTCACCTTAAGTATTGTGAAATAACTGAAGCTAATACATTGCAAAACTCTTAAAATTGTTGCGAAGCAGATAAAAACAACATGAAAAGATCATTAAAGCAAGCAAGAGCCAGCATGTGTCGTGGTCAGACTGGAGCTGTGCCTTAGCTGCCTGAGCAGCCAACTGTTAAAGAGCAGCAGCTGGGTTCCACCTGCCTTTCTGTCCATGAGGTTCCCTGAAAGAGCTGAAATAAACTTTGCCAATCCGTCCTTCTTTCAAATTTGGGTGACAGGATGATCAGGTTTTAGGACTTCATCAGACAGTCATTTAGACAGCTCAGCTACATACAACTTGTCTCATGAAAGCCAGCTATATAATGTTTTCCATTATGCAGAATTTACCTTTCAAGTAAAGATAACAACTTTCTATCAAACATGAAAAAAAACCCCCACATTGGAAGGAAAATTTGCCTATAGTGTGAATCCCCAAATAATTTTCAGGTTGTCTCCCCCAAAGAAACCTGTTATATATGTACTGTTTCATAATGTTCTAAACTCGTAACGCCTCAGAGCACAGCACTCAGACAAGTGTTTTTTTAAGTAATAACTTACATTACAAGGACTTAATTCTGCTCATAGTTGTATATGTACAACTCAACATAAATGGATGTTGCATGCAGACAGCCAACAGCAAAATCTGGTACAAAATATTTCAAATGGATGAAAACATATTGGACTAAAAAAGCCTCCACATTTTACAAGTGAAGTAACAGACTAAAACCAGCTGTATTCATAACCACATAAAAAACATTCTGCATTAATGTCCCTGATTTCAGTAAGCCTATTAGGAATATTGGCATTAGGAAAAGCCACAGAGCATCCGGGAGTGAATGACCCACATAATGTAATTAAAACCAGTACTAAATAAGCCACTGGAAAGGAACAAACACAAGGAGGTTACTAATTAGAAGCTATAATACTCTCAACATACAAACTGGCAGCCACAAGTTAAGCTCAGAAGAATTACCTTGTTGGTTTTCAAACTGTTCTGACAACAGATGGTAGCAGCAGCCTACACTGCAAACTGCTTTGATTTCAGGCTTGGCAGTAAAAATTCGTAATGTATTTGCAGCAAGATCGCCACATGTATGGAGACCCACCATCATACAGTCCTAAGAAGAAAAAGGGGAAAAAAAAAGCAACAATAAAGCATCTCCCTCTTCAACTGAAAGAGCACAAATAACAACAAATTTCAAAACTCAATTATGCTACAAATGGTTATTGAGCTGTAAGGTTTAAATACACAACTCCATGGGGACTCCTGCTGTTCTGTTCTAGAATTTTTCAATGCATTATAAAAGCTCTTCAGTGCTAAGAAAACATGGTGCATTGCCTCTGTAGAGAGAAACACTGCTCATTGCTTTGTTCAGGTAAAGAACTACCCATCTCTGCAGTCTACCTTCACCAGCCATGAGGACGCAGAAGTTCAAGACGAATAATAGCAGCTGGTTTACTTGCATGGAAGGGAACATCTATGTGTTGACTGGATATGGGCCATTTCTCTTGTCTTTCCTAGCTTTTCAGTCATTGTTATAACTACTACTGCTACTTCCTTTTCTTTCTTCAGATTTACTGCTGTAAATCTGGCTGGACCTATCTATGGCATTTCTGCTACTTTAAATTGCTGAAATCAAAACCACTTCTAAATATAGACGTAATGTGAAAAACAGGCTTTGTTTATTTCCAAAACTGGTGTTCTGCCCCAGTTTTGCAGTGTGCCTACTACTATTCAACAACAAATGAGCATTTTCTTCTACAATACACAGAACTTAATCTTCAGATGCTCTGTATTCTATTGCCTGCTCTCATTTTTTCCTCAATTTCCCTTTTCCCTCTATTTCTCCATCCAAATTATTCCTCTTCTCACCCTTCTTATCAAGATATTTCCCTTCTGGCATTATTAGTTGGAATCTATTGGAATCTAATCAAAACAACATGGCATTGCTTTGAATTTCAGCCTTATTTATTAACAAGGTTATCAACAAGAAATTAGCCCAGAGAAATTCAACTGGGATACCTGTCTATAATAATTCTGAATTTATATGCACATTGATTTTTGCTGCTCTGTATCTGATTTATTCACCTCTCTGTATTATACAGAAGGTGTATGTGTGAAATAGTAAAACCTCCTTTTTCCTTTGCTTTTTCAATTCTTCCTGTCCCCCTTCTCACCTTCCACTTTGTGCTGCTTCTCTGTGCTTGCCCTTGCCTTGTCCAACATTTTTAGGTGGCAAAAGTTCAGTTTCAGTCCATTTTAGCTTTTAAAGATTTTTTTTCCCTATCAGTCAGCTTCAGCTCATGATTCCACAAAGCTTTTTTCCACACTAAAGTTTGGAAGCTTAGGGAAAATGTACACTTGCAAGGGCAGAATTTAAACCCCAGGACAGGAAAAGTTAAGAGAGATTCTTTCAGGAGAAAGCTAGTGGAAGATGGCTACTGCATGCAAGACAGAGGAAACACATTACAACACTCAAAATTTCTGAACAACAGGAGGTCAGCCTGACTGTGTCAGGTACACTTTGAGATCATTACTGACTTCAGTGAGGTTGCCTGGGTATAACTGCAAGTACTTTCTGGGAAGTTGGCTTACATGCAGCAAAATTTGAGATCTTAATATTAATCCTGGGCTATATACAAACATGCATTCCTGTACCCATATTTTATCCTCAGATTAATTTCAGAACGTACAGCATAAATCAGTAACTATTAATTTTACCCATTCCCCATTTGTCCTTAGCTTAGGAAAACTTGAGAAAAAATCATCAGTTTATGGCTGCAATAAAATACTTAAAATATTTGTAAAATTGTTTGTAAAAAATATTTCATTTCTAAAAATTCTCAAAATACTTTTAAAACATGAAAATTATTGCACATTTAAAGGTTTTTAACTACACGTATTCATCACACAATGTGGTTTGGTTATTACTATTTTTTAACAATGAAGCTTTTGCTTTTTCTGACAATGTTTTTTTTAATAAAGAAAGGCAGTGATGTCTTCTACATTATACATATTACATACTGGGAGGATACAAAATCCAACTGTGCAAATGTAAATGCATATGTTTCACCAACAAACCCTGCTGCGCAGGGTGACTTTTGCAGACAGAAGAGCTTGCTCCACATGTTCTCAGATAGTCAATAGGACTTATGAGCTTAAGTTATAGGGCCATCAGCAAAAACCTATAGTCTTGAAACAAAGATTAATTACATCCCTGAATACAATTGTTCAGTTTCTACTGAACACAGACAGGTTTTTATCTTTCCATAAAAGACTGATTGTATCTACCCCACCAATAACTGTTAGCTCAAGCACAGGAACTAAACAGCCATACAGCTTCTAGACTTGTGTCACTGTCTTTGAGCAGCTGAACTTAAGCTTGTTTGAGTAGACACAATTCCCAACAGCTAGTAGATTACTAAATGAATTTCCAGTGACTGAAAAATCAAAAAATAAAAACATTATTTGCAAACAGAGCTCTTTACAAACTCTTTATGTTGAGTACTATACACAATAAATTTTCCTATGCCTTCAAAGTTTAACTGAAACTAACAAATTTTTACAAAAATGTAAAACTTAAAAGATAAGAAATTTCATGGAAATGGAAACTCCGGTGCTTCATATATCCATCTACCTTGTAAATAGAACTTTTTAATAATAATTAGATGTTATCTATAAGCACAGTTGTAAAATACATGAATGTGCTAATATATATACTGTTAACTTTGACAGCTATTATCTGCCCCATAAATTCTAAAGGCTGCTTTACATATTCAAAATAATGCCAACATATATTAAAATAGAAGAATAATCTCTATGTGCTACGCATACTTCTGCTTATTGGCTGAAAAACATTATTGGGGTAGAATATAAATTTACACCACTAAGTATTCTATGCACACCCAGCAAACATGTAGATATGAAAATGGCAATATAAAGACAATAGACAATCTAATTCAAATATTAATAAAATAACCTCCAGATCTGTGATGATGTCACTGAGTTCTGTTTCTGCAGTGATGCAAGAAGTCAATGGAAAATACAGGTTTGAGTCACTTGACTTGCCCGCTTTAGCCTCGAGAGATGCCATTTTTCTTCGCACCTTTTCCTCTTCACAGAGTTCCCCACAGTTACACTGAGATGAAGAAACTTCTACAGCATCAGCAGGCAGAATGTTTAGAATGGCAAGAACCTCTTCAGAAAGTTTGCTCTCATCAGATTGCGTCCGAGCCACCAAATCAGCTTCAGCTTCTTTGCTCATTTCAGATGTAGCTATTCCTGTGAAACCACAGGAAGGAACTAAATCTTGGATAGCCATTTGGTCCTGATTTTGAACGCTGCTGTCATTATTTAAGGGCTTTTCATTGACTGCTTTACATTTAATTTCACTTTCCACTGGCCTGTCATTTGCCTTTTCAAACCTCTGGCTTTTGAGGTTTGCTCTCCCTCGACTCTGATATGCTCTCCAGTGTTTCTTCAATTTTCTGTTCCTTTCATGAGCACCATTAGTGTTGGTGTTTGAGGAGTCAATTCCATAAACTTTTAAGTTATATTGCATGGACAAAAATGAGCTCAGGTAGCCTTTTCCAGAACCTATATCAATCACCTAGACAATGGTGGGAGAGAAGGGAGAAAAAATAAAATTTGCTGTATTAATTAGCAACAAGACACACTTCAACCAAATGCAAAATAATCCCCTAAACATTTAAGCATAGATTTAACAGCTACCTTATCAGAATCATTCCTCCTAATATACTTAGTTCTTTTGCTTTGTTGGTCTACCTTCTGACTTTAAAACACAGAACTTAACTGATTCACTCCATAAAACAGACACTGCAATGCTTATGCAATGCACATGTCCTGACTCTTCTGGGAATAACTTTCAGTATATTTTTTGACACAGAACTTCCTTCTGCAAAAAAAACCCAAACCATAAACCACAAACCACCAACACCACCACCTGCCCTAGTTAAACTGGGTTAGGATATAGAGTGAGCAAAGAAAACAACCACAGAATTGAGCTTCAGGCTCCTAACTCCCATACTGAGCAGTCTACTACCATTTGGTGTACAGAAGTAAGCATCTTCAAATTCAGTGCCTAACTTAATCACTTCAGATGTGACCTAAAGAGAGGTGATATTGATACCCTCTTTTATATCAGAATGCTTTTTTATTCATACAGTTTTGGTTAACATGAGGATGCTTTTGTAATAAAACAAACGGGCTCGTATGCCACATGTGCTTTCCACTGCCTGTTCTGGAGGAAGGAGTGAATAGAGGGGATAACCAGCTGACAGTTTAGTCTGTCTCATAGCTGATAGCACGTGATAGTTCAGTGACTGATATGACACAGGAAGGAAAACACTGTACAGAGAAGTAGCAGAAACAAGACTGAGAGCATTAAGAACATAATCACAGCTTTATATCATGTGTAGCTTAATTTGTAAAAAATATATAACAAAATATTTTACAAGAATGGGCAGAGTGATGTTTCTCTAAGGAAAGAAAATGACAATGTTCACTTCTGTTCAGGCATCTACCAAAAATTATATTGACTAGATATATTGACTTCTTTGTATATGTTCCTCAAAGTGTTTGATCCAAAAACATCTATGTCTTGTTCTTGGTCTGCCACACATTCATAAGAAAGCTTACACTGGTACTTGTAAGTCCAAATAGCAGCATACACTACATGGATTCATCTTAAACTCAGCTACATAGTTTTTTACCAGGTAAGAATACGCTGTACAGGATTACTTTTACTGAAATGAAAGATTTATTACTTATTCTAAGAAAGTTAAAGATTTCTGCAGATTTCTTGAATTAAATCATTACAGAAGTGGATTTACTGAAATAGAATTGATATAATCCAAGCACACTTTCTGAAAATGTCATTTATTTGTCACATTTATCACCAAAATTCTCCTAGATTACTTAAAAGTGAAGGAAAGAAAAGCGTTCGAGGAATAATTTTACCCACTATTTTATGTAACAGATATAACTATTGTGCAGAATATGCACACCTCTAATTCTACAAGGTTTTGAAGTATTTCTGTGAAAGGCTGCATTTGGACACAATTCAGCTAGTGAATTATTCCTAACTCCTACGTGTGACCTCTAGTGGTTGTAAAGACAAACTGCTCTTCGGGTAAGGTTTTTTCAGTTTCCAAGTAAAAAGAAAATAACAATACATTGTTAAATTAGCACTGGGAGAATGGTTTTAAAGCAAAAGGAAAATTTGACTAAAAATAAGCAGGCAATGATCTTGTGCTAAATAAATAGACCACATTAAATTAATCCCCACTTTATGTTCCCTTGATTACATAAGGAAAGGTAATCAGCAACCCACAGCCTATTTGCCAAAGGTCTTCTCCATGGTGAGTTGGGTACTAAGTTTAAACGGAGTTTCTGGCACAGAGCAATAAAGAACTCCATTTTCAGAAGCATTCCAACATTTCCCAGCACCAAATGACAAATTTACTGGATGCTGAATGCAGAACTATATCATACTTACATTACACATTGCAACTCTTGCTGCAAATGCTGCAACTTCCAAGGAAAACTTTCACAAGTACATTAAAGAAAACAAATGTGCATTGAAGCAAAGAGGAATCATCATAGGTTTCTTTTCAGAGTTTAATCAAGAACTTCTTTACATAAGTTCCTCTGTATGATAGAAAAGATACTTAAACGGGGCAGTAAATATCTGAAAAAACCCTTTAATGTTTTAACTCAAACCACTAACCTATAAGCGATTACAGTAGCAATAAATTTTTTGCTTTTATTCTCATTTTACTATTTATTATACTACGTTATAAAATACCACAAGAGAGCAATATCCTCTACCACCCATTATACATCATGGGTATGAAGGTTGAAATGGAGGGCATTTTTCAAGCCGTCAGAGATCTGTAATATCTGAAAGAAACACCCTGAGAACACGTGGTGTTGTAAAACATGTGTTGTGCTTTCATAGCTCTAGATTTTTTAATTAAATGCCACATATATTTTGTTTTGTGAGAAGGATAGAAAAAAATCAATAAGGAAAAAACTCTCCTAAAACTTTACAATTCCTGTATTTTTTTAAGTTGAAAGGTAACCAAAACAAAAGGAGTTGATTTTTAATAACTGAGAAGGAGGCTTTTCTTAAAAAAGGAGAAGGAGGGTTTTTTTTTTTTTTTTTTTTTTTTTTTATTTGTAATGTAACTGGAAAGCTCTTTTCATATGTTAGGGATTTGTAACTTTGCACAAATAAATTTTGTTACAGTGTATGACTAAGATGGAAAAAAGTTAATATAGAGCAGTCAGCATTTCATATTCAGTGATACATTGCAACAATATTTTTCATTAAATGTTACCTTTAAAAAAAAATAAACAGAAAATAATCCTTTGTATAAAGATATTCCAAGCCATCTGATAAAAGTGCATAATCACTGGATGAAATTACAGCATATCGACAGATTCTTAATAATGATTGGTTTGAGATTTTATGAGTAAGCAGCTACATTGGGACTTACATTAGGTCATTAAGGTGGCTCTACTTTTTTACTCTCTGAACATGGGTTTTCTTTTCCTTTGATTCCTGAATCTCACAGGAACTGTTTAAAATCTAAATGAAAATACTATATGAAACACCACCTTCCAGCAAATACAGACAATATTTAATATCACATTATAAGCAAACTCCAGTCTCCTACAGTTTTTCAGTATGTGAAAGTCTCCAAGGCTTGAACAACTAATGCTTGCCTGAAGCAAAAGGTATGCAAGCCAAAAAACATGCTAATGACAGAATAAATTACTTTTACAAATCTGCTGCTACTGTATCTCTATAAAGCACACCCACGTTATGGCCGTTGAGGCACCCACACTTGTCACCATCACTGGCTCTTGAAAGAGCTGCAGGAGAGATCGCCTTGCATCTCTTGTAAGCAGTCACAGATGCTCACAAATTGATTGCATCTCATGCAGTAATATTTGGCATTAATTGCAGCCATTTACTTGGTAATCCCAGTTGTAAGAAGACTGCCTAAAACTTTGCCTTCATCAGTCACTCCTCACAAAACAGATGGTCAGGATTCAGAGTTCTGATCTGTTTCCACAGGCCTAACCCAAACATATCAAGTGTACTGCATCATTTACATTACCTATATTAAACTCAGTCTGAGCCAAATAACTTCCTAATCAAAGTTCAGCTTCAGCAGGTCAGAGCTGAATCCAAGTTTTGGGGCCTGTCCTTCAGTCTACAGTAGCAGCAGCAGCAACTCAGGACACTGTGATTACATTTCTACTGCTGAAGTGAACAGAGCACGGCCATGTACTCTACCTCTGGCATATGACTGCCCACACCATTGATTTTTAGCAATGCCCCTGGTGCAGGTATGAGGCCGGCCAACTAGCACTCTCCCATTACAAATGCTAGGCACAATATAGGGAACAAGAGGTACCAGAAACCATAGTAATAGCATTTGTACAGCCTAGAGAAAAGAAGGCTCTGGAGAGACCTTAACACCATGTTCCAGTATTTAAAGAATGGCTACGAAGAAAATGGAGACTCCCTTTTTACAATGAGTCACATGGAAGAGATAAGGGGTAATGGGCAACAAGTTACTCCTGAGGAGATTCCAACTGGACACAAAAGGAAAATTTTTCACAAAGAGAACACTCAGCCATTGGAATAATCTTTCTAGGAAAGGGGTGGATTCCCCTGTGCTGGATACTTTCAAGATCTAGCTGGACAGGGTGCTGGGACATCTAGTCTAGGTCATGCTTTGCCTAGAAAGGTCGGACCAGGTGAACCTTGAGGTCCCTTACAACCTGATACTCCATGATTCTATGAATACAGACTTAGCCTGCCCAACTGCAGCTGTCTCTTCTTCTTTACCCACATCCAATATATTAATTTTAAACTATACTCAGACATTTTTATTTCATAAAAAAAAGAAGTCTCAAAGGGAATATATTCAGCATAAAATCTGGGTAGATATCTTATTAATCTTTGGTTTTAAACAAATACAGTTTGTTCTCCACAATCTTTGTGCGAATGAACATTAGGCTGGAGGAAAGTGCAGCTCAGGTGTGGAAAGGAATCAAATGCAATGTCCAGAGCCACCCACAGTTTAAAGCGAGGGTGAAGCTACGTTAACCAGTTATTAGCATTATAGAGATTAAAATGATTAAACCAACTCAGCTCAAATAAATATTTAAAAATTTCATTTTACCACAACAAAGTTCTAAAACATGGAATCTAACAGGAAGTTTAACATTGAAAGAGAGTCCAGAAAAATTACATCTATGTAAACTGAGGAAACGGTATTGTTCTTTTGTCTAATAGAACGACAAATAAGCACTCAAAAAGTCAAGTATTTTTGTGATGCTTGTATTCTGTCAACAGATCCATAAGTGAACATCTACAAGGTTTTAATGCAACAATGATCTAGCATACTGTGGAATCATAATTGCATGATGTCCTGGGTTCAGCTACAGCAGTCATTTTTTCTCCTTCTTAGTAGCTGGTGCAGTGCTGTGTTTTTGACTTTCAGTCTGGGAACAACGCTGATAACACCGATGTTTTTAGTTGTTGCTAAGTAATGTTTACTCTGACCAAGGACTTTCTCAGTCTCATGCTTTGCCAGAGAGGAGGGGAAGCCAGGAGGAAGCAGAGGCAGGACACCTGACCCAAACTGGCCAAAGGGCTATTCCATACCACAGCACGTCATGCCCAGTATATAAACTGGGGGGAGTCACCCGGAAGGCCCAGATCGCTGCTCGGGTTGGGCTGGGTATCGGTCGGCGGGTGGTGAGCGGTTGTGTCCTTTTCCCTTGTTATTCCTCTTCTCATTATTATTGGTAGCAGTAGTGGTTTGTATTATACCTTAGTTACTGGAGAGCTGTTATCTCAACCCGTGGGAGTTACATTCCTTCGATTCTCCTCCCCATCCCTCCGGGAGCGGGGGGAGGAAGGAAGAGGGGGGGAGTGAGCGAGCAGCTGCGTGGTTCCAAGTTACCGGCTGGGCTTAAACCACGACACATGTAAAAAAAACCAAATCAAAAACCAAAAAAGGGGCTAAGTTACAATCAAATTTGAGAAAGGAAACCTGCAATTCTTCACCATTGAAGGATGAACTTGCCATCTGATGTACCAAACAGCCAATTCAGAGAGTAACTGCTGGGTGATAATGGTGTTGGGTGTCCAGATCTCACTCGTGTCCTACCAAATGTACATCATACATACTCTGCTACATAAATCTCTGCTTAATCTGGTCTCTTTTCAATCTAAAAAGGTCATAACTAAATTCATTACTGATAGATTTCAATCCATGTTAGTAAAGATGAACAGCATTAAACAACAGGAAACAATTTAACTCTCTTGTGCCAGAATAAGATGAGCTTTCAAAATTGCTCAGATTTTTCTGCTTTGGTGTCTATGTGTCACTCCGGTGTACTTGACAGAAGGAGAAAAATGAAGTTTTGCTTTCTTACTGATGCTTATGGTAAATTGCCAGCGCTATAATAGTGATAAACAAGGCAGTACCTGTGCATAGCAAAAAGCAGTACAATTTTTAGCTGTTCAACAGATAGAGGATGATTAAAATGTCTCAATTTTTTTTCATGTGTCATAAAATGATTATGACTCACAGAAAGGCAGCTCCTTCAGAACAATACATATGTAAAAAGAACTACCCTTCAGCTTGGCCCTAAAGGCTCTTCTTTAGCCACCATTATTTACAAGAAAATTAAGAACAGCAGCAGCAGAATATCAAAATGATTATTTCAAACACTATGAGGATAATAATTTGGAAGGTACACAGTAACATACAGTAAGAAATGCTTTCTTACCTGCTTTATATCACAGTAATTCGCTATGTTGACTACCAGCTCTGACATCACCTGCACTTCATGTGATTTCTTATTATTCATAAACTCATCAGTTTTGATACCTGTATCAGATTAATAAATACACATTAACACAACCCATAATAATAAAGATTTGTGATCAATTAGAAAAAATACCAGCCTAAAAATACGCTATAGTATTTTTATATTTTAAGAATAGTAATTTTTAATTAAAAACTCACTAAATTGCTACAAGACTAAACTTCTCATTTACACAGTCTGAAACTCAGTACTATTACTACAGGTAATACTACAGGTTGGGTGGAGAAGAGATTCAGAGCAGCCCTGCGGAGAAGGACTTGGGGGTGTTGGTTGATGAGAAACTTGAACATGAGCCGGCTTCAGTGTGTGCTTGCAGCCCAGAAAGCCAACTGTATCCTGGGCTGTATCAAAAGAAGTGTGACCAGCAGGTCAAAGGAGGTGATCCTGCCCCTCTAATCTGCTCTCCTGAGACCTCTCTTGGAGTACTGTGTCCAGTTCTGGTGTCCTCAGCATACAAAGGACATGGAGCTGTTGGAGCAAGTCCAGAGGAGGGCCACGAGGATGATCAGAGGACTGGAGCACCTCCCGTATGAAGACAGGCTGAGAAAGTTGGGGCTGTTCAGCCTGGAGAAGAGAAGGCTGCGTGGAGACCTCATAGCAGCCTTCCAGTATCTGAAGGGGGCCTACAAGGATGCTGGGGAGGGACTCTTCGTTAGGGACTCCAGTGGTAGGACAGGGAGTAATGGCTTTAAACTTAAACAGGGGAAGTTTAGGTTAGATATAAGGAAGAAGTTCTTTACAGTGAGGGTGGTGAGGCACTGGAATGGGTTGCCCAAGGAAGTTGTGAATGCTGATGGTGTTCAAGGCCAGGTTAGACAGAGCCTTGGGCGACATGGTTTAGTGCAAGATGTCCCTGCTCATGGCAGGGGGGTTGGAACTAGATGATCTTAAGGTCCTTTGCAACCCAAACCATTCTATGATTCTATGATTTGTGTAGTTTTTAAAAGACATAGCGTATCTAATCCCTGCCCAGAGACTAGACAATAGCTACTACTATAAAATTTGTCCTATTTCTTCCTGGTCATCAAAAAATATTTATTTTTGTGTAATTCATCACATTTACCTTTACATAAATGAAATACAAGGGCAGGGACAATTGATAATCACACAGTATAGCTTGTTAATTCTGCAGATGTGCTCACAATATCAAGTGAGAGACATCTTCAATGAAAGTTGAGTGATGCTGAGGAAATTCAAAGGAAGATGCACTTCTATTTTATTTACCCTATGGATTGGTTGTAAAACTGTTATATCTTTATGGTAGAAAATCACTAATTCAAATATTGCTGGAGGATGTGTTAATGAGATGGAGTCAATCTCCACCATAGGTTTACTACTTGTTAAGAATACCAAACACCCACTTGCTGATCTCTACATCCCCCAAGCAAAGATTGACCTCAGAAGTCACTCCCTTGGGAGAAACCCACACATTTCTCTGAGGGGGACAACACTACAATACACTTGGCTCTAGTTAAATTGATGGAAATTTTTGTAAGTCTGAGCGATGGCAGAAGAAACTGAACTCATGAGCATGCTCCTAGAAAACAAGACTTTTCTACATGACTAGGCAGATTAATATACTTTCCCATTCTCTGCTTTTTGCACAGTATGTGTTCATCTGTCCAGAAACTGATCATCAGGCAAAAACTATGTTCATTCCTTGATCAGATCATGCTGGGAACAGAGCCAGGAGTGTTACTTCTTTAAAAGAGAGTGGGGAATTCAACTGAGCTCATGAGAAACCTAGTGTTTTCTCTATTTTTCCCAAAACCCACAGCATATCTCTCTTTCTTAAACATCCGTTATTTTATAATAAATTGTTGCGACAATACTTAAAATGTAATACAGAGTCTATGAACTGACAAAGGAAAAAATAGACTAAAATACTTTTAAACAAAATAAATAGCAGAAACAAGTGTTTGCAATTTCACTGAAGATTCTGATTAACTTTAAAACTGTGAAGATCAGTGTCCTAAAAACTCTTAATTTGTAAGCATTTGAAATGAAAGGAAAAAAGACAGGAAAAAAATTAAAAGAAAGAAAATAGGTCTCTTTTTTGTTGATATTTGAACATTTTTGAGTCTGGATAGTCTCATCATCAGAAGCAGCAGAATGGCAACAGGAAGAAACAGATACTTAACTTCTTGGACAGAAATAAAAGTTGTTTGACTGTTGTCCAAAGCAGCACTATCACTTTGAACTATCAATCATCACATATTGCACCTTTTACTCTTTGCTATAGTATGAAATTAAAAGACTGAACTGGGTAATGCTGTGTGAAGTACCATTTCAGAGAGCACCTAAGCCAAATTAAGTATTTCAAACATGTAAGAAATCCAGAAATCCAGAAACAAGAACCAGATTACTAAAACAGGATCCAAGCAGAAAATTCACAGTTTAGCTACTCAAGTTTCTTAACCACTTTTAGACTTCTTTTCCTACATGTTGCAGAAAGAACACTCTATTCATATTTCAGCTCAAGGAAAATGGTACTCTTTGCAGAACAGTATGGATTTTCAATAAATTTTATTGTTGCTGCATTTTCTGCAAAATTCTGATAGTTTTTTTTATATTCTTTTGAAAATCAAGCGGACATATTACAATGTAAGAAAAACTGAATGTGGTGATTGTTTTACACTGTTAACTGCAAATTTGAAAAAAATATGTATACTACTTTTAAGCAAACTGTGTAAATTCCTTCAGCTCTTACAAAATTACTTTTCTTGAAACAAATAATTATACATGCAGGTTTCCTTATTATGTACACAACTGATGCAAGCAGAACAAACACTGACTTCAAAAACTGTAAGAAATATAGAGATCCATCTCTTTTTGTGATGAAAAAAGAAAGTGGGGTTTGAATTCTTCACAGAAGTACCCTGGATATAAGAGAGTAACAGAAAGCTTAATGTTCCTAATTTTAGTTTGTACTGAAATTTTCTTATTTCCATTGTGAACCCCTAGCACAGGTAGCTGTTTTCCATTAGAAAAACTGCTTCAAATCTATAACGCCATTTAAAACTACGTCTCTACTTGTGAAGCTGAACAAATTGAGGAGAGACTGTCTTTTATACTGGGCTAACGCAGATCTTCCTAAGATCTCCTACGGCAGAGTTTTATGCCGCAGCTACCTGTGGAAATTTAGATACACCAGAGAAAAAAAAATAAATTCCCCAGTCCACGCCAGATAATACCACCTATACAGAAGTTCACTACTATGATTTAATACCATAAGCCAGACTGAGGGACAGGGATAATCATATACTGAAAAAAAAACCATTGAGGCAGAGTGATATTCCAGCACATGCAATTTAAATATGGATTCACTAACAGTCACTGCATGACTACTACCTTGGCCATAAATACACTGCAAAGGTAGAGAGCACTTTTAATCCAATACTCTTATCAACCCTCACTTCTTGTATCAGATGAACACAAGAGATAAATAAATCAGATAAATTTCTCTGTAACAAGTGAAATTCTCCCTGCCGGCCTCCTCCCCTTGGGTCAGGCTCTTTTGGACCCCATGCATTCAGTGCAAGCAAACTGATGGTGCAGTTATGACCACAGTGTCCTTTGTTAGGAAGCAATGGAGAAAGCCCTTTAGACTCCAAACTCCATTCTGAGTAGCTGTGTCCACAATATGCTTAAAATGTTGTGCTTAGCAATTATTCCAGTGGAAGATAGAGATATGCCTGCATTAAGATGGTAAGGAAGTTAGGCAACTCTCCAAGTATGCAAACTGTGGGAACAGGCTCCTAAGTGTGTTTGTCTTAGAACAAGAAAATGTATTAAAAACATCTGAAACATAAATGGAATTATCCTGCTGCATACTTTTCAGAATATGAGCAAGGCCATTGTGAAGTTGACAGCTTTCTCAGACTTACATCTCTCTTGACTTGCAAGCTTTAGTATGTCAGGAAATTAATGTATTTTCTGAAATACAGAATTAAATCCAAGATATTTAAAATAGTTTAAAGTTAAAAGATTACAACTTTCATTTGGAAATTTGCATGTTATGAATACATAATTCTGTATTTTGCTTCTGCCAAATGCTCACCAGGAACTCCAATTAAGTTAATTTAACTGATATTTACTGCCAATTCAGCACAAAGGTTTTGAATTATAATACTACTGTATACATTTTTAAGACATTTTATTTTATCTATGAAGTAGAATTTAGAATTACTGCATCACACACCCAGGCCCTACATACCCAACTGAGCAGCGCTCCTGCAACACACAGAGGAAAATGTTGAGCAATTGCCTTATTCCTGATGCTCAGTTCCGCATGACAAGAAGATGAAAGAATCTTTCTAGTTTTGTCTAAGGAAGATAATGCCAGTATGAACTCGGGTATAACTATAACAAGGTAAATTAGAGAATTATGCAAGATTAAGCAGAATGCAGGGAATGAGAGCATAATAAAAATGAAGAGCTAAAGGGCAAGCAGAAGAAAAGCAGCATACAATTGTCAAACAAGAAAAAAGGGCTTCAGATGAACAAGAAGAAGAAGGAAAGAAGCCAGAAAGTAAGAACAATTCACACAAACCATTAAACCTATCCTAGATATGGCATTTTAGTATTTCTGAAGAAATGAAAAACTAGAGAGTCAACCACAGAAAATGGCAAAACTGGAAAGAGAAAACTGCTGAAGAAAATGGGAGAGATGCCCAGTATATATAACGGCATTATCACTTAGGTTAAGAAATGTCAGTGTTTTAATGCATTATAGAGATAAAACACATTAGAAGGCAGAAAGCTGCTCAGTCCATCTCTGAAAAACTAATGAGAAATCTGAAAAACAGTGACAGATCTACAAAGACTGAAGACTCCATGAAGAACACATTTTCAGTGAAAATGACAGCACTCCAAGTAAGCAAAAATGCCAATTTATCATCACATACAAAAAAATATAATCAGGAGTAAGACTTCCAGTGTCTAACTTGATGCCAACTTTAAAGTGTTTTAATTCAATTTCTGTAACTAAAAAAAATGATATTACTCCAGTTTTATGACATATAACTGGTATTGATCCAAAACATACAGAACAAATAACTTTTTTCCTTTGAGACATCAAACACGTATTGGGCCATCTTCAGCTAGACACCAAAACACATATTTAACACAAAACAAAAGAAAACCCACTTGCCAGATTTTACAGTGAGACTTTTAAAAAAC